CTTCAACCATGCCCCCTTCTGGCCTGAATCTGTTCCTAACATACCTCCTAAAAACTTTCATCAATCTTTCGAAAGGGAACATCTAATGCAGGTATATTGGGCCAAGGGCTCTAACTTGGTCAACAAGATGAATGAGCAGATGCAATGAGATATCAAAGTAAGTCGGCGGGAAATGCATCTCAAGCCTAACGAGAGTTTCGGCTATGTCCCACAGCAGCTGCTCTAGTGTGGACACATCAATGACCTTTTTTGAGATCGCGTTGAAGAACAAGCAAAGCTTTATGATTGGGGCGTGGACCTTTGGGGGAGGATACCACGCAGGGCAATAGGGAGCAGCTGAGTCATAATGACATGACAGTCATGGGCCTTTATAGGGCCATAGTTGAACTTGATTTCTCTCATGTTCACTAGCCTCTTTGGGTTTGCACAGTAGCCCGTCGGGACTTTGAGTTCATTAAAGAAAGAAATAAGCGCACGCTTTTCTTCCTTCTTCAATGTCCATGACGTAACCGGAAGTTCGAACTGGCCATTCTCTAGCTCCACGGGATGCAGCTCCTTCCTGATTCCCAGGTGTTGCATGTCCAGGCGTGTGGCTAGTGAATCCTTCGATGTCCCCCGGTGTCCATCAAGGTGTTAAGAGTGTTAGCGCACATGTTTTTAGTGATGTGCATGGGATCAAGACAATGGCATACACTCAGAAATGGCCAGTAAGGTAGTTTCTAGAAAACCGATTTTTTCTTCCAAATGCTCCCATCTGGCGCTGCTACTACATTGTCCCCCTTCCCAAGGACAACCTCCAGTTTGTTGAGTTCTCGAAGTATCGCAAGCCCATCTCGATATTTTGGAGCTAAGCGTTTCTGAATAGTACCGTTGAAATCTTTTCTGTTCCTATGGTAAGGGTGATCCTTAGGTAGGAACCTACGGTGTCCCATATAAACTATCTTTGAGTTATTTGGCAGATTTACCGCATCGGTGTCGTCCAAGCACTCGACACATCCAGTATAGCCTTTTGTCTTCTCTCCGGACAACGAACCTCGACCTGGCAGGTTGGTGATTGTAGCGATAAGTACTCCCTTGATCGTGACATGTTCCTTTTTGTACTCGTCCCAAACATCCGGCACACCCTTTTTAAACATCTCCACTAGTTCATCTATCACTGGTTCTAGAAACACATCGATGTCATTCCCAAGCTGTCTTAGCCCTTAGATCAGTAGTGGCATCTGGATGTACGACCGCTTTATACAGACCCAAGGTGGAAGGTTGTATATACAGAGCGTCACTGGCCAAGTGCTATGATTGCTTCTAACCTGGTCAAAAGGATTCATCCCATCTGTGCTCAAAGCAAACCAAAGGTGCCTTACCTATCCACCGATGTCCTTATAGAACATAGTATTGACAGTCCTCCAGTCATGGCCATCGGCGGGGTGCCTCATCATTGTATCTTTCTTACACTCTTCGCCATGCTAGCGCAACAGCTTGGCTGACTTTGCACATGCAAACAGCCTATGCACTTGGGGAGCTATAGGGAAATACCAAATGACCTTTACGGGACCTCCTCTGGTCTTGGTACCCTCATCTAACGGCCCTTCCTTGTATCGTGGAGCTTCACACTTGGGGCACTTGTCCAAGTCTTTGTATTTTTCTCCATGGTACAATATGCAATCATTGGAACACGCGTGGATTTTTTCAACCTCGAAGCCGATGGGGCAGATCATTTGCTTGGCCAAGTATATCTTTTCTGGCAACTCATTTTTTTCTGGGAGCATTTTCCTTATTATACCTAACAACTAATCGAAGCCTTTATCACTCAATCCGTTTGTCGATTTGAACTCTAACAGCATGATGTTGGCTTCCAGTTTGCTCATTGGACAATTCCCATACAATGGTGTTTTGCCATCTTGTCTCATTTTCTCTAGTTTTCTCAGCTGTCTTTCACTAAGACATCCGATCTCTACATTACAACGCAGCTGAGAAATGACATCGTTATCCTCGGTGTCGTCAGCTAGCGTGTTTCTAAACACATTATTAACTATGGCCATAGGTTCCGTGTTGACACCGGGTTCCTCGTCAGCATCGTGGATGGCTACATCAAGCATGTTGACATCATCATCGTTTTCCTACAGAACATTCACACCAACCTCGCCAGGCATAGTCTATATCGTATAGTTTGGCATGAAACCCCTGGTAATCAAGTGCGATCGTATAGACTCAATTTAACGAAAGATCCTATGATTCTTGCAATCTTTGCATGGACAGAAGACAGGGTTCCCATTCCCAGCATGGGCCTTGGCATCGGTGATAAACTGGCTGACGCCATGCATGTACTACTTGTCCGTTCAAGACAGATGCATCCACTCTCGATCCATCTCTGCACAAAAAAAAGAGACAGTAATTACATAGAATTAATAAGAAATCGAGCTTCATGAACAACAATTGTAGCTCGAAAGTACCATTTTTGGAAAACATTATTGTACACTAATTATTGAAAAATTGAAATTGGTAGCCCCTGTCCTATAAATTGAAAATCGTAGTAAAAACAATTATTGCACAATATTGAAGAACAACTATTCTACTCTACTTCTAAGAACTAATTATAACATCACATACTAACAATGATGATCTTGACCACCATGGAATAATTAGCTAGGAATTTAAATGTGTTCATAGACACCAACCTTTTGGATGATGGATTCACCACAATTTGAGCCTTGCACAAATGTCCAATTGAAAAAATGCTCTCTAGAATGGAGAAAGAAGTAGAATGAGAATCAAGCAATTTAGCCATCAAAACAAAGCTAATTAAGCAACAAAATCAAAGGAGTGGATGTTTGTTACTAACCTTAAAGCAAAAAGATCAAATCATTCTTCAAAATCCAAGCACTAGCTTCATGGTGAAGAGCAGCCGCAACAATGGAGGGAAGGGTCTAAACGCGCGCCTCTGTTCTCGAGATGGAAGAGAGGAGGAAGGAGAGGACGGCTGCAGCCTTTTTGTGTTGTAGGCTTATCACCGTTGGTTCTTGGCTAGAACCGACAGTGATAGTGCCCAATCACTGTCGGCTCTTGGCTTAAACCGGCAGTGCTGAATGCCCGCCAAAACACTGCCGGTTCAAGCCACAAACCGGCAGTGATGTGGTCCTTCACTGTCGGTTTGAGCCCAGCACCAATCATTTTTTTCATTTTCAAACTCATAACCGGAAGTGAAGGTACATTACTGCCGGTTCTCACAAATCCGGCAGTGATGAGGCCGGAAGTGATGTGCAAATCTGGCGTAGTGTACCGCCCCCTTCCACCCAAGGGGTAACTCGGCGTGGCACTCCAAGGCTCATCATTGGGCAGATGGTGACCTCTCCGATGCGGAAGCATTGCCAGCCGCCTCTCCAACCTCCTACGTCAATGCGGTTCTTCGTGAGCCGCAACCGCCGAGGTTGTCGTCACTGCCTGTGAGAGACCATCCCATCATCATTGGAGGCACTTGCAGTGATGTAGCAGTTCAGGCGGGCGCCGGGGGTGACGCAGGCGCAACAAGCATCATCAGCCATGCCCGTGACTCATACATGTGTTAACGGTCCACGGCAAGGATGCGGAAGCCGAACATGATCGCGCACGGCGTGTGCAAGCCCACTTGTGGCTTAGTCCTCACTCCGGCACATGCAAGCCCATCTCCGCTCTGGATGCTGAGAGCTGGCGTGAGGTCCTGTCATGGGAGCCGTCAAGCAGCTCCGACGGGGCATGCCCTGCGTAGCCTACACCTTTGGTGGATCGTCGGCTGCCTTCCCGCTTTCCGGCAGACCTACGCGGGAAGTGCTTCAATTCATAGGGTGGCAACTTGCAGGCTGCCTCCATGCCGCCTACACATCATACCATTGTAATAACTTAAGTGGGTCGCCAAAACAAATGGTGTTGTTCTTCTATTTTTACAACGATTGACATGGTAAATTCTAAAACATGAGTTTATCCAAGATGTTTGGTTACTCAAGCAAACTTCCTTGGTTCAATGGTGGGAGACCTTGTCTAAAAAAATTAGGTAGAGTAAATTCAAGCGACAAGAGCTATTTTTTAGCTTTTCCTACCAAATAGACCCTGATAAATCAGCTTCTCTCACATACATAGTTTCTAGGTAAAGCTAGATGAAGCTAAATAGTAGCTTCTCCTAGCGCGCGCGCTCTCTCTCAGCTATCTTCCCTAAGAAGCTGTTTTACCAAAAAAAAATAGTTTTAGCTTTACTTGTGAAGTTGCTTTATGGAACTGAAGCCAAGAAAAAAAACTATTTCACTAGTGAAGCTGAGCAAAGCTTTACCAAACAAGCCCTAAATTAATCAAAAAATAAGATGCATACAAGCAAACCACATGCTCGGGATTCGAAGTATCATTCGAACTGGGTTTGAATCAGTTGCTTCCTGTTTTGAACATCAATAGGGCCTTTTGAAGTCGACATTTTAAGATAAAAAATTGTACTACCTTTTAATCACATTATTTAGAAAGATCATTTAAGAACCTCACATCCCTGCTGTTTGCTTTCTTGATCAGAGTGGTGGGTCACCCTGAATTTCCGCGCATTACCATATACCCTCCCAGTATTGTTTGTCCGTCGCAGTTCAGCGTTGGCAGTTAGCACTTAATTAACAGTTAATATCGGTGTGCATTCTTCTCTGATCAGCGTGTTCTTTATAAAAACGCGCAGCAGTAGGCCAGTAGCTCACCGTCGCTCTGACGCCACGCCGTCGTGATCTCTGATCCGGCTCGTTCCCGTTCTGCCTCACGTACGTCTGGTGAGGCTACCATTCTTGATTTCTAAACTGGCCAATGACATTTTTTTAGAAAAGATTGTAAAGTAAAATCCATTCACTTGTTTTTTGTTTGGGTACGTAAAGCCTCTCTCTCTCTCTCTCTCATACTCTTGCAGCTGTACTCTTCCTCTCTTCTTCTTTTTTTGAGGAATCAGTACTCTTTCTCTTACCAGGCCGCTTGGTGCTCAGCAGGTTCTCAGTATGTATAACAGCATGGACATGATAAATAGTAGTGCAGTGTCATCCTCCATTGCACTTGTTTTCATTGCTGCAGTAATCACCAAGGTTGCATGGGGACGAATAACAGCTGATCCGGCATCACGCAATACCCCGCCTCATCCCCCTGCGGTTAGCGGCAGTTCAATCATTCCACTTTTACACACACTTGTCACTAAGGGTTTCAGAACCATGCTTCAGGAGCAATACACAAAGTTCGGAAGTGTGTTCACGATAAGTTTCTTGGGGATGAAAACAACGTTCCTGGTTGGGCCGGAGGTCTCGGCTCATTTTTACCAGGGACCGGAGTCTGAGATCAGTCAAGGTAGTTTCCTTGAGTTCACTGTCCCCATGTTTGGCAAAGATGTCGGCTATGGTGTAGATATCGCCACCCGGACTGAGCAGAATCGCTTCTATCTTGATGTGCTGAAACCGGCTAAGTTGAGGTGCCATGTTGCTCCCATGCTTCAGGAAGTGGAAGTAAGTGACATAACATTCCTCTCACTCTCTCTCTCTCACATGCATGTGATGTCTTGTGAGAAAATTAATGCAATTAACAAAGATATAGTTATATATACATTATCTAAAAAGTATCCAATTTTTAGTAACAGCAACTTAGAAAGAACAAATAATGAAATAACCAAGAGTTTTGCTGTCAAAACAACCATCAAAATAGGTTTGACGTGATTTGAACTGATTTCGGAGTTTTTTCTCATGTAAGTGTATATCCTGTTGCGTTTGTTTCCATTACTGTAAGGAAAACATATACGTACAGTGTTATTGGAAGCATGAAAGTCAGACTTCCATAGTTCTATTATTGTTAACTGTAAAAGTATGGCATATGAATTAATCTGGAGTATACACGTATTGAAACATTTTCCCTTTTTTTCTAAAAGACAAGTTGATTTATGAAAAAGGATATAATCATGTCAACATTTATCAATATTCCATCCACCCTATATAAGGTATCCAAGCATTTAAATTTTATCCAAAATTATAAGTGATTCAAGGTAAAATAACTCCACAACTCAAATATGGTAATCACAATATACCCATATGTTTATCTACAATTAATGTCTGTCACCGGCCCAAATATGGAAATCACAATATATTGAAGGACAATTACATGTGCCATTTGCTATACCCCATAATATGTTATAGGATTCCTAGTACACCCTGTACCTCAGGATGTAGAGAGTAATCTCTAACTAATTATCGTTATTGAGACTTTCCATTATATTTTGCATGAGCATATTCTTCCAGATTATTTAGTGCAAGCCTTGATAATCGCATGTCACTGTCTACCAGTACTATGTTTTTTGAGCAACAACACCGCTGGGCTGAGAGGCTCCACCTGAATATATTTTCCATAGATTCCGGCGAGCGGTAATGGAGGGTGCATAACACCTAGTACATTAGCAACCCTTGAATAGTCCAACAGGGTACAAAGAGGGGGGAGATAGCAACGAGATCCACACAAACAACAACACAACACAACCTACTAACCAAAGCGAATGCAAACACTACTTCCTAACATGTGCCACCATTAATGAGACTCCGAAGAATTCTAAACCACATGCAGCTGTAAGGCATTCACAGACGACAGCCAGGAGGCTGACCCTGTACTTCAGGATGTCGAGAGTAATCTCTAACTAATTATCGTTATTTAGACTTTCCTATGCTGCATGAGCATATGCTTCAAGATTATTTCGTGTGAGCCTTGATAATCGCATGTCACAGTCTACCAGTACTGTGTTTTTTGAGCAACGACATGGGGGGGCTGAGAGGCTCCACCTGAATATATTTTCTATAGATCCCGGCAAGCCAGTAATGAAGGGTGCATAACACCTAGTACATGGACGACCCTTGAAAAGTCCAACAGGGTACAAAGAGCGGGGAGATAGCAACAACATCCACCACCACAACAACAACAACACAACCTACTAATCGAAGCGAATGCAAACACTACTTCCTAACATGTGCCACCATCAATGACAGATTCCGAAGAACTCTAAACCACACGTAGCTGTAAGGTATATTGAGCGGGATCCGACAGACGACAGCCAGGAGGCTGTAAGGCAATGAGTCGAAACCCATAGATGGCAACCATGAGATGCGTCACCTATGAGCACATCTGGGCTCCAACCGACGTCCACCAACGCCATTTGGGGGAAGGAAGCCTCAAAGGGGGAGGGCCGTCAGGGGAGAACAAGGAGATCCAGAGAAGGAGATCAAGGTCCTTGCGCCCCAGCATATGATGAGGCGAAGCACTCAAGAGATTTAGAGGACAGCAGACCAAGGCGTTGTTGCCGAGCGCCTGGTAGCAAGTGGTGTGTGCAGAAGCCAAGGGGTAGGAGGGTAGTCAGATCGATAACAAGATAGGGATGGGAGAGCAACTGGGGAGAACATAAGGGCACGTCCGGTGAGGATGGGAGTAGGTGTGCTTGTGTCAATGCCTTCAAGAAGGAAAGTGATGTCCACAGACGCCACCGCGGCACCATCGACGACCGGAGCCCTGCAAGAAGGAAGGTACATTGGAGGGTCTAAGCTGGCCCCTCCACGATGACGCCCTCAAGAGGGACACGAAGTTTTTGATGCCGCCACCACTGGCTCCAGGTAACCAGAGCTAGGTTTTCACCAGGACGTGCTACAATTAAAGGGTGGGGAGGATACATCGACACCTCCAAGGAGGTAAATGGCGCCAGAGGGCATCGCCGTCGGTCACATAGATTGGGTCATGCACGGCTTTCGCCTAATCTCTTCAAACCCATGTACTATATCCTGCCGTCTTAGGAACCAGGAGGACGAGCCCAAGGCACGACGACGCCCAGTCTTCACCGCTGCTGGGCCACAAGACCCTGCTGCGGGCAAGCAACTGCTCCAAGGCACGGCCATACCGTGCCGGCATGCCCCGTCGTCTACCCTTAACAGCTTGCACAATGCAGTCGGGGGGAGTCGAACGTAGCTGCCGGCCTCGACAGATGGGCCGTACCTGCTATCCGCGTCGATGTCGCAACCTATAGCCTGTAGCCGTTGAGAGCTTGCGATGCTATAGCCGCGACCTGGTCTTGCATCTCCGTGGCCCCCAGGCCGCGCTCACCAATGCCCAGCTACGCACCAAGGCTGGCCCTCGCCCGCGGCCTCGCCGCCACCCACCGTGACCTGGCTCTGCGCCAGAGGATGCCGCCTAGGGGTGGTGGGCGGTGACCCAGCACATCTGAGCCTGCACGCAGCGGAGCAGCAGCCAAACATCCGCGCGCCACCCAAGCTTGCTAAGACGAGGCCATCGAGTGACCGCTGTCGGGCTACGCCGAGGCACGCCGGCAACAGTCAAAGCCCCGTCCACAACTCTGTCAGCAGGCCGCCGGCCGCCGGCCGCCACGTCCATATGCCCGCTACTAGCCGGATCTGGGGCGGGCACCGTCGCTAGCCGCTGCCGCTTCAGGCCAGGGGCGCACGTGGTCGAGGCCGCTTGGCCTCCATGGACTGGCAGCGTCCCGCCGCCGGCCGCCGGCTTAGACAGTGCACCCGACGGCCGCCATCGCCTGTACGCCTGTCGCGCGCCGGGTTGACATGCAGCCAGGTCCAGGGCTGGGATCCCCGAATCCGAGCCCAGGATGCACGGATCTGGCTTCTCACCGGCCAACTTGCTTCTTGCCATTCATCTGGATAGCCATTGGAGCAGAGAAGAACTTGAGGAAGATGACAGAGGGTGGGAATGGGAGGTGCTGAGGAGGCTGCCTTGTTGAGCACCGCTGCCACTCATTGGCGAGCAGCGGCGGCGGGCGGGGGATCTAGCCGGTGGTGGCTGAGTTCGGCGGCGGGATATCGCCCCAGTCGCCTCGGGAGATGACGTGGGAGGGGGGGGGGGGGGGGTTACCAGTACTATGTTACTGTATGGTATGTATATATGCGTACTAAATACAATAGATGAAGAAGCAATGGAAGTGTGTAGAGCACACCAGTGGGTGGTTTCATATCACTATCATTTTCATAATTTTGTTGCTGCCTCTAGTCACAAAGAGAAGATATACCTTATTAAACATTTCAGTTGCCCAACTTTTCAAATTTTTACCAGAGCTACCTTTTCAAATATTTAGTTTGGAAACATGATAATCATATCATAGATTTCCCTTGAAAAGTAATGTTATAACATCACAATTAATCTATAGGATAACATTTTTTAAAATATAAGTATGTAGTGGGCATAGCTAAATATGAAGTATCTAAGAAAACAAGTTTTTGTCAGGAAGAGTACATGTTTGTTGTTCTAGTTGTGATGATCATGCATTTGGTACAGAGAAATACTTTGCGAAATGGGGACAGCAAGGTACGGTTGACCTGAAGCAAGAGCTGGAGCAGTTACTCATGTTGATCTCAGCCCGTTGCCTACTCGGGAAAGAGGTTCGGGAGAAGATGTTCGACGAGGTTTTCTCTGCATTCCATGAACTCACAGAAAACAGCTTGTAGCTGACCAGCTTGCTGTTTCCATACGCCCCAACGCTGACGACTCGACGTCGCGACAGGGCGAGTGCTAGGCTCTCAAGCATTTTCGCTGAGATTGTTCGATCGCGTAAGAGCTCCAACCGAGTCGAGGAGGATGTTCTGCAGAACCTGATGGGCTCCAAATACAAGGATGGCCGCCCCACGACTGAAGCTGAGGTTACTGGGCTCATAATGGCCATCCTCTTTGCAGGGCAGCACACAAGCACGGCCACCAGCACGTGGACTGGAGCTCGCCTTCTAAGCCACACAGAGTGCTTGGAGGCTGCCCTTGAGGAGCAGCAGCAAATCGTCAAGAAACATGGGGACAACATAGACTACGATACCCTTCTGGAGATGAGCTTCCTACACTGCTGCATCAAGGAGGCGCTGCGGATGCACCCTCCAGGACCAATATTTCTTAGCAAGGTGCACAAGAACTTCACCGTGCGAACTAGAGAAGGCTATGAGTATGAAATTCCGAAAGGTCATACCATAGCAAGCCCTCTGGTGATAAACCACAACATTCCCTACATTTACAAGGACCTTGATGTGTATGACCCGCACCGGTTTGGTCCTGGAAGGGAGGAAGATAGACTTGGTGGCAAGTTCACTTACAACACGTTCAGTGGTGGAAGACATGCTTGCCCTGGTGAAGCTTATGCCTATATGCAAGTGAAGGTGATATGGAGCCATTTGCTGAGGAACTTTGAGCTCAAGTTGGTGTCACCATTCCCCGAGACCGATTGGCTAAAGGTTACCCCAGAACTTAGAGGGAAAGTGGAGGTGAGTTACAAAAGACGGATGCTACCTAGGAGCATGCTGGAAAACTGATGATTACTTGTGTATGAACTCTATTATATGTGCTTGTCTGTGTAATAATAAACATGTTTGTATGCGCACACTTGTCGTACAATGAGGAAGGAATCGCCAAAGTCTCATACAACTATACAATGAAAATGGAAACGGTGTTCGTCTTTTTGTGTTATATGAAGATTTCACTAAACACTTACTATAATTTTTTTTTAGAAATGGCTGCTTGTTATAATAGTTAAAAATGATACCATTTCTTGATTTCCAAATACCCCATCTCATAACAAGTTGGTCGTCGCTACCACAAAAAGGATTTTGGGAGATAGGACTGGTGATTAAGAGAGGCGGGCACAAACTAGCGCCGCCTCTGCTAATGGCCGGAGAGGGACACCCAGGGGAAAGGCCCGTCTCTGGTTACGCTCCATTAACGACAATTAACTTAGAAGGCCCATCTTTGTTAATACATTAACGACAATTAACTTAGAAAGCTAGCTAGTTACACATGTTTTTACTTCGGACAAATCCATACGTGTCCAAAATTTTAGGTAATATTGATGGTGAAAGTTACAGGTGTTTGTACTTAGGGTAGAAAAATCTACACATGTACAATTTCATTGAGGAAAAAGAAAAAGACAGAAAACTATTGATGGTGAAAGCTACAAATGTTTCTACTTTCAAAGTAAAGAAAAATCGTATCAAATTTCAGTGGTGAAAAGGAAAAAGATAGAAACCTATTGATGATGAAAGCTGCAAATGGTTCTACTTTCAAAGTAAAAAAAAATTGTATCAAATTTCAATGGGGGAAATAGGTTAAAAAAATCGTATCAAATTTGAATGGAGGAAATTGGTTTTAAAAACGCGCCAGGTAGGGGTTGAACGTACGGCCTTCTGCTTAGGACACAGACGCTCTATCCACTGAACTACAGGCGCTAATGTGCATGGGTTAAATAACTAGCATTTGTTGGATTAAATAACTAGCATTTGTAAACAATGTACAACGACTCTCACCAGTACTGTCCATAGCCAGCAACGACACCAGTATTAATTATTCGAATTACACGTCTTAAACGTCGAGCTCATAGTCAAGTTTGTAGCATAGATCTTAGATAGTTAACACTTAACAGCGACTAAAAGCAGCTGTGCCAGCGACCAGCATTTTGGTTGAACATGCTCTACTTCTACTACACTGTCATGAATGAACAAACTCCACAACACCTATCTGTGATATATGTACGTACATGCCATGTCATCAGTTCAGTCTTCCAAGTTACGATTCACTTGCAAAGAACTCCATTGTGCATTACCGCTCTTCTAAACGAGAAAAAAAAACATGAAGCTGCTGTTTGCTAGCTTATAGTCGTGTTGTGGTTGATGCAACCACACTGTCACTGGCTTCCTCCATGCCGGGATTCGGCATTTGTGACATTTCTGATCTTCCTCTGTTGGAGAAGAAACAAACACAACGTTAGCCAGTTTACGTGGGGTAAAAACAAGCTAGCGATGCAAGTAATGGCCTGTTTGGATTCTCTAGTCTAAAGTTTAGTGGCTAAATTTAAGGACTAAAAACTTCAGACCACTTTAGCTCACTTCTGTGATTTAAACTTTTGTGAGGTGATCTAAACTTTAGACAACACTTTAGACCTCCTGTTTGGAGTCTCGAGAACTAAAATGGTCTAACGTTTAGTGGCTAAAGTTTAGACCATAGGATCCAAACAGGGCCTAATAAGTCGTTTCAAAGCTATCTATTCCCTTACTGATTTATCGTTAGTTTACTTAAGCATTTTGATGTACTGACTGTCATGACTACTTGGTAATGCATGGGAGGAGAACTTTCAAAACAAGCAGTTATATATCAAAGGGAGGGGCATATATATGAAAGGATGGGATGGGAGCACTGACGGTGGTCGCCCACGCCAGCCCACAGGCATTGCAGAAGTTCTTGGCGCCGGTTGGGCCTCGCCGCATCTGGGGTGTCACCTCGCTGTTCACCCCGCAGTTGGCGCAGCTGCACATGTACAGGTGATGAACATGAACTCACAGTGTGTACTGACTGCATTTGCAATGAGAATTGCATGGAAGGATCGACAGACTTACCATTGAAGCTCAGCCGCCTCCATCCCAACTGAAATTTCAGAGCTCTTCTCAGAACGCGCAAATTTCCCTCCCCTTCGAGCAATCCTGAGCCGGCAATGCAAATGCGTGCGTGCGCAAGAACGAAATAAACATCCAGCCTTATATCTCTAAACAGGAGATAGACATGATCACATGAAATAAACTGGATTATTTGATCATACATACATATATATACCTTAAAGCGATTTCCCTTCGGACGGAGTAATCTGCCTTCATCGTGCTCTTCCTTTTCTTCCTGTAGCGCGACATGGCCACCGCTCTGTCGAAGTCTTGAGGCACGACAATAGGATGGACCTGGTGCCAGATGTTCAGATTAAAGTGCATTTCGTCCGTTATGAGGAGGAAACTCCTACACCTTTGAGGTTATACTGGAATCTGGTTGATGCAAAAATTTCTCAAATGAAACGGAGGTTATATGCTTTTTGTTTAATTACCAGGTTAGTGGGTTTTGGCTTCGCGCTTTGAGGGGCAAGTTCATAGCCGTTTAGAAGCATGAGGATGGTCTCAACCTGCGTTATAGGCATATGGTTTTGTATGTTTAGTTTTGCAATGCAGCTTCAACGCGAAAAAGAAAAAAAAGTTGCGATCTAGTAGTATTTAAAGTCACACATTAACCAAAAATCACAGTGCGAGGTACAAGAACAGAAGGTTCGTCTGAAACACAGTGCCATCTGATCTTTCAAAGGTATGAATAATAATGCCAAGAAACAAAACAAAGCACATTGTCAAAGAACTTCCTTTCTCAGAAAAAGGAAAAGAAGAAAAAAAAAACTCAGCCATGCATCTTGAGAATCGCAGAACCGCTTTGATTCCCATGAAGCCAAAATGATTGCCCACCACCGCGCCATGATCACCTTGTGCGGCGGCACGGAGTCGAAGACGTGCGTGTGCCCTCGGTACGTCATGGACAGCCCGTCCTCCACACAGCCGCCGTCGCCGCAGGCCTGCGCCTCTGCCAGCCGCTGGCGCCGCTCGTCCTCCGCCTCCGCCTCCGCCTCCTCACCGTCCAAGGACCCGTCGTCGTAGTCGTCGAGCAGCTCCTGGAGGTAGTGCGGGGGGATCACGATGTCGTCAAAGGGGTCTCCATCGCCCCCTGTTCCTTCTCCGTCCACTGTGCACGACGGCGACGACGACGGCTGCTGCATTATTGGTGAGTGGTCACCGACCTGCGCCTCGGACAGACGCCGCTCGTCCTCCGCCTCCGCGCCCATTATTGCTGCCGCGCCGTGCAAGCACCCATCGTCGTCGTCGTCGAGCCCCTGGAGGTAGTCCGGCGGGATCAGGATGTCGTCAAAGGGGTCCTCCTCACCGCCTCCTGCTCCTCCACCGGCCGCTGTGCACGAGGGCGACGACGGATGCCGCTGCATGGGTGAGTGGGAACTGGTGGCTGCAGCAGCGCGCAAGCGAGCAGAAGCCTCCGCCTCCGCGGCCGTCGTCGCGCGGTACAAGAACCCGTCGTCGTCGTCGAGCAGCCACCGTAGGTACTCCGGGGGGATCACGATGTCTCCTCCGGCCACTGTGCGCGAGGGCGACGACGGCTGCTGCATGGATGAGTGGGGACTGGGAGCAGCAGCGCGGAAGCGAGAAGAAGCCTCCGCCTCCGCGCCCATCGTCGCGCGGTACAAGCACCCGCCGTCGTCGTCGAGCAGCCACCGTAGCAACTCCGGAGGGAACACGATGCCGTCAATCGGGTCCTCACCGCCTCCTCCTGCTCCTCCTCCGGCCACTGTACACGAGGGTGACGACGGCTGCTGCATGGTTGAGTGGGAGTGGGAACTGGGAGCAGCACCGCGGAAGCAAGGAGAAACGGAGACGACAGAGAACGCCCAATGCGTGTTGCTTTCCCCCCACTTTATAAACCAACGCGTGCTGCACTGCACGCACCCGGTTGTGGCACGTTGTGTGAAGAATCAACGAACAAGATTGCCGTCCTGCAGACGATTTTTTTTTAAATGATTCTTTTAAAACCCGATATCTTACCTGAACTCTCGAAACCGTTTAAACTATCTCCCAATCGTGGTTTGGAGTGGTTTTGTGTTTTTTTAGTTATATAAAAATTTGCTAAGGTTTGTAAACTATAGATATAGAAAATGTCTATACTTTTAAAATCGGACTTGCAAGTGCCCAGACGTCCAATCCGGGGCGCTAGCGTCAGAAGGTACCCGCTCAGCGAGCGAGCGAGCACCCCAGCGTGTCGGGCTTGTGAGCGAGCGCCACAGCAGCGGGCCCACGCCGCCCCCAGACGTCGCCCGCGCTGCTAGCCGCTTCCACGCGCATCCCATGGGCAACACCCGATCTACTTTTAAAACATTCAGATGCAACAATTGTAACATACAAAAAAGACAGATAAAACACTTGGAACATGAGTCTGAAACACTTCCAAAAACACTTGAAAACCATTGCAAACCTATGCAACATCCAGATGAAACACTTGCAACAGACGTATGAAACACCTGAAACACTTGAAACATGCATGTATATGCAACATCCAGATCTACTTTTACAACATCCAGATGAATTGCAACATACATCTGATACAGATGAAACATTTGGAACATACACTTGAAACATATGTGCATAGCCATTGCAACATGTGCAACATCCCGTTCTACTTTTGCAACACCGATACGAAACATTTGCAACATACCTCTGAAAACACCTGAAACATTTGAAACATATAGTTGCAACATGTGCTTTCAACGCAAACATCTCCTTGCTGCTTCGACATTGGAGGCTCATCGACGCATGGAGGTCACCGGTGTGCTCGGCGGCGGCGCAGAGCTCCCCAGCAACGTGGAGCTGGGCGGCGGCATGCAGAAGGAGGGGTGGGGCAGCACAGGCATTGTGGCGCAAAGGATGGGTGGGCGGCGCGTGAAGGTCACCAGTGTGCTCACCGGTGGCATGGAGCTCGGTGCCGTAGAGGGCGGGGTGGGGACGACGCGTTGAAGCCGTGAGAGACGAGGCGGAGTTGGGAGTCCCGGGGTGCAGACTCATCCATACGTACACATGCCTTCCATGGGAGGAACCGAAGGTTGGTGAGGATCACCTAGGAGCAAAGCACGCCCGCGAGGAAGGCATGTGGGTGGATGCCGCGGCGTAGGGAGCGAGTAGGGAAAGGAGGAAGGTGGGTGCACATGGCAACGCAGGGATGCAGAGGTGCAGCGAGCGAGCCCTTGCAATGGAGAATGAGCGAGTCATGTGGGTCTGTGCGAAGAAGCCTGAAGCAGTGCGCCAACTCGTTTCAGTCCATGGCGTTAACGGTGGATGTGGCGTACGATGGAAAGAGAACCGTCTAGATACCCTAATCCAAGCATTTCTGTTTAAAAATTCGTAAAAAAATTCTAAAGATAGATCAGGATATGTCAAATCCAAAGACAATATCTTTAAATGCTTAGAGCTCATGAAAAGTATCTTTAAACGCTTAAAATTATATTTAGCTCTAAGAAAATCAAAAAATTATCTAGAAAATATAGAAAATTCACACAACATTCTAATGGGTGTCTAAACGTGTTTTAAAAATTTTGCACAGCAAAAATTTGAGATGCAACTTGCATGAATACAACATATATTAATGTTGAATGCATTGATGCTATGCATCATGCATTTGTGATGGTTGTGTATTATGTTTTTTTTATTGTGATACGCTTTTAAAATGTTTATACATCGATTAGAATGTACTAGAGCTTTTTTAAGCGTCTAGACAGATTTTATTTGGATTTGGCATATCCCAACCTATCTTCAGAAGAAAAAAATTAAAAGCTCAGAGATAATTTTTATGGTTTAAAAATCTTATCAAGTATTTACCAAAATTATGAAACTAATCTATATATATACCTATATAATAATAAAGAGGCAAAATTTCTTCTCATTTTATTGGTATGGCCTTTCCTAACTAACTATATGAATGTGAAAATTGTTTCTATTCGTCTGTCTACTTCTTGAATATATGTTCTTGAGGCCTGGATAGTTAGAATCCTAATCCAAATAGATCCATCCGATGAGTACCCGAATAGAAATTCTAATCTAAATACAAAAGGCTAAAAGTTATTTTATGTTGTTCGATTAAGATTTCTTCCAGAGGAATATGTCCAATTCGAATCAGGCAACAATGGGGTATATGGTTTTGAGGCAACAATGGGACACACTAGCCGGATCAGAGTCCTAATCCGTACGTTCTTTCTTCAATTCAAATCAGACACATGGCATGCACTGTGCCATCAACCCAATATATACATGCAAGCGCGTAGGATCATTGATCGATCATGTAACATAATTATTATTCCAAAACCAAGAGCTAATTTCGTCCCTATCTTGCATGATCAGCACAATGGTGTCGACGACGTTGAGGATGATCCTTACCGTTGCACGTGACGGCGACAGGCTTTGCCCTGCTGTTGTTCGACATCAGGAACGGGGACTGTTGCAATCGGGGCTCCGGCAAGCTCACCTCGTGGAGCAAGCACCTAGGGGGGTGGCACTACCTCAGCCTCGACAGCCTCCAAATCGAGTGCGTCATAGACATCCGCCACTTCCGCCTCGCCTTCTGGGACCCGCCGGAGCCGAAGTTCACGTCCCGGGACAATGAGACCATCGGCATGCTCGCCTCGGAGGTGGGTGCCAATATGTTCATACACATCAACGCGGTCGACGAGCCCATCCCAGCCCAAGCTCCATACTGGATGCGTATGCCCCTTGCTTCTTGAAGAAGCACAAAACTTCGGCAGGCAACGAAGGCCCAAGACGCCAGCGACGGCAGCCGATGTCCCTACTGCTATTGCTATGCGGGTGGACGTCGATGACATGCCGCGGCCGACCGTATAGTTCGCCAACACTGGCACCTTGGCACCCTGCCCGTTGTGGACGACCTGAGCAGGGATGGCTACAGGGACATGTTCCGGAATCTGCTGCTGGCTGCAAGGAGGTACGACATGCAGAGGCTGTCAGTGATCTGCGAGCACGCGCGTCCTTTCTAGGTAAGACCGCGGTGGCGACACTGGCGATCGACCCTGCCCATCGGCATGGCATTCAGAAGCTCAAGCAAGCATGCTTCGAGTCCGTGTCGGGTCCGGAGAACTATGGCTTCGTGCAGACGAGCAAGTGGTATGCTGAGATCTCTTGGGAGACTATCTCTGTGGAGAGAGATGTATGGGCCAAGTACTGTGAGAGAAGCAGACTCCCTTGTGATGCATCACAAGTGTTAGGCATGTCTTAACACCACAGAAATATAATTTTAAGAGTAGATAGAAAACTGGTTATTTGTGTTGCACAATGTTTATAACGTGTTAAATCTCTCTCGATCTACTATATCTATATTTATCTATATATATACTTTAATATTAAAGAACAAAATTTTATCTTTATTTTTTATCCACCTCATCGAAGTTTCTTTTGTCCTGCCTTTTTACATCCTATATAAATGCACTTACACACTTCGTGTCTCATATATGATGCGGACTCATGACCCGCGTGCTCATATGAGTTATGAGTTAGAACAAATCACGTTTAACAATGACTGATACAAAGTCCAATTTCAAGACGTATTGGGATCTACGTATTATATTCCAATTCCAATATGTATTAGATTCCGTTGCAACCCCGGGCATATTTGTTAGTCTATATACCTCTATATATCTATACCTCTATATCTATATCTATACCTATATACCTATACCTACCTACCTAATAATAAATAGGCAAAATTTTAGCCTTTTTTTTTTGTCCATACATTTTTTGGTCCGCCTCCCTCTAACTACCGGACAATGGAGAGTTTCTTCCGTTAGGACTTATATATACTAGCAAACTTGCCCGTTGCAACAGAAGAGAAAAAAACATCAAACATCAATGAAAACTGAGTACGGGAATGTTACATATATATTTATGTTTTACCTTTTCTATAAATTTTAAAAGCTATAATTTAATTTATGCGGTCATAGCATCCATAATATAAGTTATTATTGGTATAAATTTTAAAATACTATCTTGATAGATTTTCTCTCTTGTTGCCAGGCACAAAAATATTTACCTGTAAGTATATCACAATTTTAATTTTCATAATATACATGTGTTAGTCACACTATAAAAGAGCGAGTTTTTTTAGGGGGCTCGCGTAATAACCGTCTGATCTATACGCCGTGCTATATGAGACATTCGTCATACGTGATCTTACTCTTCCTCTATAACAGCCGTTAGATCTACACATCGTGCTATATGAACCATCCGTCATCCATGATCTTACATGTAAGATATATAAGAATCATATTCAATCTCAATTACATCTCACGATACATCTATAATTGGTCGTATATCTTTAATAGTTGGACAAGTCCTCTAAACATATGGGTCATGACGTGTGCACTTTCCTTTAATCTTCTAGCTTTAATCCGACTGGGCCTCATGCTTCATGGACTTGAGCCCTTTCCTAAAGCTCTCCAAGCACGTACGTACACATACTCCTCCCGCGTGTATTAACCTTATTAATTAGTGCCATATTGTTTTCTTAGCAATATGAAACCTGCGTCAGAGCCCACGCATCAGAGTTGAAAGGAGGGGTGTATGGGCTTGACCCAGCGTTGGAAGCCCATTCTGAATCTTATAAAGCCCGTGAAGCTGGGCCTCTCTCAACCTTGCTCGAAGGCACACGCAGCCTCGAGTGGGGGAGTACGTTGAGGCCTGCTCATGCGATTGTGCGCTCGCCTCACCCCTCTTTCCAACTCTTTTTAATTTTACAGATTAGAAAAAAAATCCACTCAAATTTCCT